ATTGGCACCACAGCTGTGTTTCAGGTACAAGGGAAACCCCAGATCTCAAATATAACTTACGGAGAACATTGATTAAGTCTTAAACAGGACAAAGTTCAAGACAAAGACACATCATCAGCATGAAGGAGACCCTTAGCAGGAGATCATAATGGCATCCAAGGGTTCCTGAGATACAGAGATTTAACAAGGACATGGGAGGGCAAAGGAAAGGGTCACAAAAGCTTAACTGGTGGCAGTCAATGCATCACAGGTACAGGTGGGATGACCGAAGAGGGAATAGAACTATGTTTGGGACACATACATTGTGTTAAAGAGCTGTGTCAGTCCAGGTAGACTAGAGAAACAAATCCAGGGAGACTCATATGTGTATAAGAAAGAGCTTTATATACAAGAGCAATTGAATATTGATAAAACATCCCAGCCCAGTACAGATCACGTCCTTAAGTCCGATATTAGCCTGTATGTCCAATACCAATCTATAAATTCTGCCTCAGACTCAAGAAACACATGCAATGCCGCTGAATGCAGGAAGACCACAGGCCAGTGGGTGGGAAGTCTTGTGAATCCAGTGGCAGTAGAAACATCTCAGAGCTAGTGTGGGTCTCCAAATGGTTCCTCCAGCTCCAGGGCTCTGGCTGCATCAGCGTAGTTCCATCAGGCTCGTTGCCAGTAATATCTTGCAGGAAGTGAGTGTATCTGGCTTCCAGTGAGCTATTTACCTCTGTGGTGTCTCTAAATGAGGTCATCAAGCTGCGACTTGATTGCCAGGCTAGACTCCACTCCTTTACAAGTTGACACCAGATAATGTAACTACCACAAGAGCTCACAAGATTGATCCAGAGCCATCTGACTGAGGCAGTTAGGGCAAGATCCATGACTTTGACCCCCGTATGGTGCTCTCTATCAAGAACACACCCTGACAAGCCCCTAAGGGAGACTGAATTCCTGGGCTGGCTGAGGAGGGGTGGAGGTAATCCATTTCCTACGCACTCTGCCTGAGTGAAATACTATTCACATTCCTAGCCCGTGTTGTTGTTGAGTGCCAGCCAGTCGGTTCTCACACATAACGACCCAAGTACAAGTGCCATCCTTACAATTGTTCCTGTGCTTGGACCCATTGTTGCAGCCACTTATCCTACCCATTCCTCTTGTTGAGGCTCTTCCCCTTTTTCGTTGTTCCTCTTCTTTACCAAGCACGATGTCCTTTTCCAGGGACTGGTGTCTCCTGATAACGTGCCCAAAGTAGGTGAGATGAAGTCTCACCATGCTTTCTTTTGAGGAGCATTCTCACTGGCCTTCTGAAGGAATTCAATGGAGAACTAATCCACGTGGGGACTCTGTAAATGGATTTTCAGCTTTCAGTGTCATCTATAGCCTACTGCAAACCGAGTGCTGAGGATTCAAGCTCTAATGCAGCCGGAACAATGGGCCCTAACCTAACAACAGTTATGAGGATGCCACAGGACTGGACAGAGCCCACTTGTCGGGGTTACACATTGGGCTGCTAACTGCAAGGGCAGCAGTTTGAAACCATCAGCCGCTCCCTGGGAGAAAAAGGAGGCTTTCTACTCCGGTAAAGAGTGTCCGTCTTGGAATTCCACAGCGACAGTTGTAAGCTGAGTTGGCTCTGACTAGATGTAAGTTTGGACAGGACCGGGCAGTGTTTTTCGTTCTGTCGTCCATAGGTTGCTATGAGTCAGAACTGATGGCCCCTAACAACCATCTTCTTCACTCAGCAATCACTAAGGTCGAGGACAGTGGTTCTCAACCTTCCTAATGCTGCGACCCTTTCCTACAGTTCCTCATGTTGTGGTGACCTGCGTGTGGGCGTATCTGCATGTGGGCGGACCGGCCTGGAGATGGATAGAGGAGTGGTGTCTCCGTTCCTAAGACCATTGGAAATATGGTCTTAGGCAACCCCTGTGAAAGGGTCGTTCGACCCTGAAAGGGGTCACGACCCACAGGTTGAGAACCGCTGGTCTAGGCATAGTGGCTAAGGCTTATGGAGAAGTCTGAAGACAAGTCAAGACTCAATGCCCAGAACTCACAGGGTAGATACCCGAGTCTCACTCTTTTTGCCTGTCCATCTTCTGTCCAGTGGGTTCTGAGACCTCCACTCAGTCTAAACCACGGGCTTCTGGACACAGAGAGAGGTTGATCTCACCAGGCAGAAGCCGTAGTCTGGCTATTGGAGCATGAATTCTGAGCTCTCGTTTTGCCGAAAGCTACAGTTTACAGTGGGAGCCCTAAATCCACCTTGAGTCTTGACACAAATTCAGTCTCCTGTGAGTTCTTAACCTGCACAGTAAAAAGCTCTGCCTTTAGGAAGAGGATGTTTAAAAGTGGATTACCATGACTCCCCTAGCCAGGCCAGGGAGGGGCAGTCTTGTCCTCAGAGTTTTATGTGGGCATGCCCTTGAGTTCAAAAGTACTTGGTGCTCCTCAGGTGAAAGAGGAGGCTCTCTACTGCTGCAAAGGTTTGCAGTCTTGGGAACCTACTGGGGCGGTTTTTTTCTATCCTATAGGGTTGCTATGAGTCAGAATTGACTTGATAAGAATGAATTGGTTTTGTGGGGTTTTTGGTCTTTAATGAAAATGGAAATACCAGGGCCACATTGTCAGGAGTCTTACTCTGAGAGCACTGGGACCCAGAACCAATCGTAGAAAGGGTTCTAACCTGCCATTGTTTAGGTATTCCAACCACTGTCCCTTCTTTGCTCCCCTTCCATGTCCTTCCCTCAGAAATGATCAATTGATCTGCCACCAACCACGAATTTTGTAGCAATTTCCGTTTAGCCAGTGGCTGGATCCTTCTACCACCATGACGGCTCCCTCATCTGGATGGCTGGTTTTCTGTCTTCAAGACTTCATAAAGGAGTTTCTGTAAAGCATATTTGGGGGGTTTTTTTGTTTTGTTTTTGGACCCCTAGAACATTAGCTACTCCTTATTCAGCAAGGCTCGGGAGGCTTCTTCCAATCAGCTCTCCAAGACACAGGACCCCACCTTAGACAAATCTATTTGAAATCCCTGGTAGCATAGTGGATTATGAATTCGGCTACTACCCACAAGTTCAAACCCATCAAACCCTCCAGGGCAGTGCTGCTCTGTCCCAAGGGTCACAGAGAGTCAGGATGGGCCACAAGGCAGTGGGTTTTGTTTCGGGTTTGGTGGGAATAGCCCTCACCTCCTTGCTCTCTGCTCTGTCTAGCAACAACAACAAAAAGGCCAGTGAGGAATGGATGCTCTCAGTGCTTTGGCTGGGCTTGGGGTGGCAAATAAATTGGACAAATTGAACAAATGAAGATAGAAATAAAAATTCACTTGGAATTTGAGCTTCAATGAACTGAGGTCCTCTGTTCAGAACTTCAGATATAAGAAAGCATGACACCGACCAGTCAACTTGAGGGTCCAGTCAAACTGTCAACAGTTGGCAGTTTGAAACCGCCTTCTCCTTGGGAGATGAGGTTTTCTACTCCTGTAGCGAGGAACCCACAGAGGCAGTTCCACCCTGTCCTAGAGGGTTGCTGGAAGGCAGAATTGACTCAATGTGGGGAGTGGGGGTTAATTAGTACACTAGCATTGGGCTTGTACTTCCATCTCTTACATGTTTATTAACCCAAGTTAGCACTTTCCATTTTCACACAAACAGTATGTGTGTTTTCTGACCAAGACTTTTTTTGAGCGGAAATGACTGGCAAGCCTTCCTAGGAGCCCTGTGCTGGCAAGAAGGTGCAAAAGGTGTTTCTGAGGCTTGCCAGGATACACAGTCTCTGAATCCGAGTTGGAAAATTGGGCCTAACACTATTCCAAAGCTGCTTCTCAAATTGCTTCTAGGGAAGGCAACGAGGGATCCTGCCTACCTTCTGAGAATTGCAACCTCAGCCCTCCCCTCCCCCCACCCCCA